TAGATGCTTCAATTAAAGCTTTAAATTAATATATTAAAATTCAATATTACAACGGGGTGTACAAAAGGCAGACATGCAACAAACTACCGAAAAATGGAAATAAAAATGAACATAGATCACGGGGTGTACAAGGCAGGCATGCAACGAACTAATATAAAAATAAAGTTTTGAATTTAAATTTGTGTGAGATAAAAAATGTTGCAGTAGAATAAGAATTATGGGTTTAAATTTATGGTCCGTTTAATTCGCTGATTCGAGTTGAGATGCGACTTTATATGAGAATTTTTTACTGTAGTAAAAAAGTTAGATGTGACTGTTTTTTAAAATTTTTTACTATAACAAACTCAAATTCTAAATTCGAATCGGTGAAATGAACGAGACCTTATGGCCTAAACAATTAGCGGTATCACAACACAATGAAAACTGGAAAGGATGAATCTGAACCGATCAGAAGGCTTGGCATTGGAGTTTGCAATGAATCTGGTGGATTATTTAAGAATCAAGTCGATTAGTTTCATAAAAAAAAAGGATATCAATTAGCTTCTTCCTGCCATTGCAATAAGCTTTTATTTTTTACTATGTATTCATTTAACTCGCAAAACAGTTGTAACGTGCTCAATTTTATTAAATTTACTATAATTTTATCAAATTTAAGGGATTTGAGAATAGTGAAATTGAGAAATCTGTATCGCAATTTGAATTGAGATGAAAGTTTTCTTTAAACGTGCTTTTTCATAACCCATTTCACATACTCATCATCATAATTGGACACATTGCAACTGTTTTGCATGTTGAAGGAATACATTGCAAAAATTAGAAGTTAAAAAGGGTTAGTTGCCAGACCACTACAAATCAGGAGTAAATATGCAAATAACTTTTTTTTTTGGGGAGTCCAAAAAACAACACCGCTTGCGACTATAAAAAAGAATTTTACGATATTTGAATAGAAATTACACTGTTACTGCTTCTTCTCTCGCCGCCTTCAAAGCTCTCTCTATTGGAGGAGAAGGGGTCATTTCCGTTTCTCTGGGTTTTAAATTTTTTTGTAAGAAAAAAAAAAAAAAAAACCAGAATTATGAGTTTAAATACCACACACCCCCTTAGTCACCACAGCCTTAAAGCCGATAATGAAAAAGGAAGTCTTGAGAAGACAATCATACAATAGTAAATAGTTCTAGGGGAGGGGAAAATTTACCACACACCCCCTTAGTCACCACAGCCTTAAAGCCGATAATGAAAAAGGATGTCTTGAGAAGACAATCATACAATAGTAAATAGTTCTAGGGGAGGGGAAAAATAACGTGCCAGTTTAATTCGTTAATTTAAATTTTATTGGTTTGAACGTTTTGATTTGAATAAAAAAATTTAAACTGTGTGTTTAAATTGTAATTTGGATGTGCAGTTAGAGTTTTAATTTAAACATATAATAAAATTTAAATGTGTTTAGTAGGTGTAAAAAGCAAGAAGAGTGGACACATTTTACTCGTAAAAATGGTTTGAACGGTTAAATTTGATAGGGTAGCTAACCATTTAACTCAGTTCAAACGGAAAATATAATTTTAACTGCATGTTTATCAAATGCAAGTTTAAACTGTGTTCATTATTTAAACTGAGTTGAACTGAACTAAACTAAACTAATTGGGCAATATATATATATATATATATATATATATGTTTTTCCATTTGTTATCCTTCCAAGTTTCCTGTCGTTTCCCGTTTTGTATTTGTGTCCATGTGTCTGTCGTTTCTTTCATTATTTTCCTTTACCCTCTTTTTATAGTATTTTCGCTTGATTGATTGATTGTCTCATCACGTAAATGTCGTTTATACCACCTGTCGTTTTTTTACCTTCTATTTTCACTTTCGGCCTATTGTCCTCCTTTAATTTTAAAAAGAAATAGGGGATATGGAGGCAAATGGCCCTTTTTTAAAGTTTTTTTTTTCTTAAAAAAAAAGTTGAAGTTTTGTAAAATTAGTAAAATAGCCGTTTTTATTAATTAAATAGTCAATCACTAATTGATTAGCGGTCATTCACTGATTAACTTAAGTTTATTACTAATTAACTTAATGATTTTTTATTATTAATCAATATTAATTAATGATTACTCAAAATTAATTAGTAATTAATCAATTTTAATTAATAAAAGTTTATTAATGATAAATTATTATAAATTATAATAATAAATAGGTCAATCATTGTCGCTCAATCATTGATTGATTATTGAAAAAAATGCCATTTTGTTAAAATAAAAAAGTTCGGCTATGTGTTTAAAAAATAAAAAGTTCGGTTATTTATTAAAAAATGTGGTAGAAAAAGGTCATTTACCTGATTTTTCTCAAGAAATAATTACTCTATCGTCATTCCTTTTGTTGTCGTTTTATTTTATTTTCCAAGTTTGTTGTCGTTTTTTTTACTGTCGTCTCGGTCTTCCTGTTTGGTTTCATTTTTGGCGTTCCCTTCGTTAAATGTACCCACTCATTTGTTCATTTCTTTGTCGTCTTCTAATTATTGTCATTTTACTATTTCTGTCGATTGTTAGTGTGTACGACCCTTTTTAATTTTGACGTCGTTTCTAACATTATTGTCATTTTCAATTTAATTTTCATTTCTGGCTCTGTTCTTGTTTTTTTTATTTGCCCATCCTCCTCGATTTCTTGTCGTTTATTATCGTTTTTCTGTTTTAAATTATAATGTCGTTTTCCGTTTGTTGTCGTTTTTAACCGCTTATGTTAGTTCTACCATCTTTCTTTCTTTTTTCTTTTTCCAATTTGCTTGAAATTAACATTAACACTGTACATTGTATCAGGGTGACCAAGGAGAACAGAGCAGCTGGAATTTTGGACAACTTTGAAGAGGGTGAGAAGTATTCCCAACACAGCCTTAGGAAATACGTCCGCAATAAACCTCCTCAGATCATGCCCAACCTCAACAACTTCTTCTCTGATCCAAACTAAACCAAATGCTGAAATTGGGATTTTTCTTATTTTCAAATTATATTATTTAGCTTTTGGCTGCTGAATCTGTATTCTTCAGAGAACATCGGACAAACGATCTGTTTTTTTCACGAGGGGTTATGATAATTATGTGCTGCAGATTTTCATGTTATTGATGCACTATCTCAACCTCATTAATTAATAAATTTGAACGATATTTTCTATTTTGATCATTGTTGTGTGGGACAATGTGAAAGACACGTAGAAGAACGATAATATGATATGTAGCTTTAACTACTCACCGCAAAGTAATAACTCTCGACGTCTGGGGTTCCCTCTCATTCCGTTATAAAGAACCCAAGTGAAAAGTCTAACTTAGGGCATCGATTCCTTCAAGCGTCGACGGATCGTACCGTCGACCTTAGGACATAGAAATTCCTCGACTGTGGAACCAACCGCCAAGAAGGACAGTTGGGTTAAGCAACATTGGCGACGAGGGAAATGCTCTTTGGGGAAAAATCTGACGTGGCAAATTGCATATAAAAGTGGGGGATGACTGCAAGGCAGGCATTTATTGCGAACCCTTAAACCGCCCCACAGGGGACAGAAAAGGGTTACAAGAATGCACAGAGCCGTAATAGAAGACTAATTGGTTGCGTGAACAGTACTCCAAGTAATTAGTGGGCTACGTCTGGGCCTAAAAAGGGAGAGCACTTGAGTGCTTCTGCCTACAAAGGAAATCAACCCAGCGAAGAAAGCTCCCAATATAAAAAGGGCGAGACCCCATACAGGAAAGGGTTGAGATCTGAGAGAAAAAAGAATGAGAAAGAACAATTGATGTAAATTGTAATCCCTTCAAAAGAAATATACAACCACAGTGGATGTAGCTCTGATTTTATAGAGTGAACCACTATAAAATCTCTTGTGTTCCTTATTTGTGCACATCTTTCATTAACGCACAATACACCCCTCTAACAAATTCTTACACACATTCAACACTAAGGCCGGTAATTCAACGGGAAACCCAGAGGTAACTCGGCCTGTTTTTATTGACGAGAATTCACCGTCAACAATCATCTATGTTTTTGTTTGCAAAGTTGTGCAAATAGTGATGGCCAAAAATTTTCTTCCAAATATTGTGAATTTAAGAAATAAGACTGCGTGAAACAATTTTGAGTTTAACCATCACACAGTCTTAAATTGTGGAACTGTTAGGTTGGTAGATTCGTATCATGATTTAAATTATGGTTCGTGGTTTGTTGCAGTATTTTCTCTCATAAAAAAACACGTAAACCAAAAATGATTATAAATCATAGTTTTAAATCTATAAACCGAACGTTAAATAAGTATATTAGCTACTACCAAGAATACAATGATGAAGATAAGGTTTCATTTGCAGTGGGTAATTCTACCTCAATTATATTATTAGAAATGGAAATAATTAAAAAAAAAGCATAAGCCATTTCAGAAGGCAGATTAAAAGAACATATAAATAAGAGTATTTTGGAAGAACAGGAAGTCAGAAACAGAACAAAATTTAAAAAATTCCTATTTGGCGTCGCCCGGACTCGAACCGGAGACCTTCAGTGTGTTAGACTGACGTGATAACCAACTACACCACGACACCTCCAATGCGTCAATAGAATTCTTGGAAAATTTAATGTAAAAATAGCATTAAAATAAATTTCTATTGGTAAAATGAAAAAGAAATTAGATCAGGAACAGTGTGTTAGGAAGGCATGCAACTAAGAAAGAAAGACAACCGTGTTATTACAACGCAGGGAATATTCGAGAAGGGTGAATCTGAAACCAAAAAAAAAAAAAAAAAAAAAGAAAAGAAAGAAAGGAAGCAAGCTTGGCATTGGATTGGATCTAGCTGGCCATTCCCATAAATATGGCAGGCTGGTCAAAGTTAGACAACCGTGTTAGTTGACAATAATATTCCACATTCACGGCCTTTCTAAATTTTTTGTGGCTCCAAAAAACGACACCACCGAGCTTGCGACTATAAAAACGACTTCTACCGTATTTGAATAGAAGTTTCCCCGTTTGTGTTTCTTTTTGTTCTGTGCGTCTCTCGCCGCCTTCAAAACTCTCTCTCTCCTGTTGTCTTGGAGAAGGGGTCATTCTGTTTCTCTGAATTGGTCTCAATGGCTTCTTCCTCCACCTTTAGCAGATGGTTAAGGCCTGAGGTACTTTCACTTTTTATGTCATCCTTTTTTTGTTGAATCTTTTGGGTTTTTTTTGTTTTGTTTTGTTTTGTTTGGCTAATGGGAATATTTTGTTTTTGTTTTTTCATTTGTTGGATCTGAAATCGTTGAATTTGTTTTGTTTGTTGACTGGAATAGACTGCTTCTTGTTGCATAATTTTTTTTTTCATGGAAAGTTGGTGCAGTCTTGCAGATCCCACAACAAATAACAGAAACAAATGATATTCTTTTTCTTTTCATGTGAATTTGGTTGAAGATATCTCTGTTTTTTTTTCATGTGAGTTTCGTTGATGTTAAAATGAAACCAATAATGTTCCTATAAAAAATCATCCCATTCCTCTATTTTTTCCGGTTTATACCCAAACTTTGGTTCTCTGCAACGTTATTTTGGTTCATATAATCATATTTGATCCAAACTTTCCGGTTTTTTCAATTTATATTGTAATTCTGCAAGACAAATGGGTGAGTAGATTTCTCTGTACCATGGAATTTCTTGTGCTATAATTGTGATCTAAAAAAGAGTTTTTTTATTAGTTATTTTATATATGGATATAGTTTTTTGTCCAAAGAGGTTATAATTGTCAATTACACTTATAGGTGTATCCGCTGTTTGCGGCCGTTGGTGTGGCTGTTGGCATATGCGGCATGCAACTCATTAGAAACATCACCACCAACCCTGAAGTCAGGTATTTTCTATTTTCTCCAACTCTTTTTTTTTTTTTTTTCCCGGATAAAGATGCTTTTCTTCTCTTTTGTTATTTTTGATTTGCGCTGCTATTTTATCTTAAGTTTATTTTTTACGAATGACAAAAAAACTAGTCACACCAGAAAAGGAAGCAAGACTATCATATTAGTACCCTTTTCTTCCCTTTGTTGTCGTTTCTGCGTGCCTGTTGTTTACCCTTTTGATGTTGTGTCTATGTGCCTTTGTCGTTTATCATTTTTCCCTTTTACCCTTTTATCTAGTCGTTTGTTTGATTAATGGGAACTTTTCACTTAAATGTCGTTTGTATTTTCTTTCATTTTTATGTCGTTTATGCACATAATTTGTCGTTTATTTTAAAGGGATTTATCTTTTTTAATTAGACTCTCTCTTTTACTTCTATTGTTGTTTTTATTACTTTCCCATCCTCTTAATTTCTTGTCCATCATTACACTTTGTTGTTGTTTTTCTCTTGTAAATTCTCTTGTCCTTTTCATATTTTATTACTCTGCTCTTTCTTATGGTTTTCAATTTTCATATTGTTGTCGTTTTAAACTATCCGTCCTTTGTCAACGTGTATCGGTGTATGCTCTTCTTTCTGTTATTCTTGTTTTGCACTTGTCTTCATGCATTCACCTTATTGTCGTTTCCCAACTGCTGTCGAATTTCATATTGGTGTCGTTTTTACATATCCTGTCGTTTTCAATCTCTCAATACACAACGCCAGCACCCCTAGGGGAACAGGGAACATAGTCAACGTACAACCTTGCATTTAAGAGGGCTTTTTTCACAGAGCTGAAAAATATTAACTTCCCGTTCATTTTATTGATTCGAGTTTAAAATTTGAATTTTACTATAATAAAAAGTTATCACATAAAATCACATCTTAATTCGAATTAAAAACTCAAATCAGCGAACAAAACGGGCCATAATTCGCTCAATTCTTCTTCTTCTTCTTCTTCTTCTTCTTCTTTTCTTTCTTTTTTTTTTTTTTTTTTTTTTTTTTTTTTTTTTTTTTTTTTTTTTTTTTTTTTGTGGGGGGGCTTGAAACTCTCTTAAACTTGGGACATAATTGTATCAGGGTGACCAAGGAGAACAGAGCAGCTGGAATTCTGGACAACTTTGAAGAGGGCGAGAGATATTCCCAACACAGCCTCAGGAAATTCGTCCGCAACAAATCTCCTCAGATCATGCCCAACCTCAACAACTTCTTCTCTGATCCAAACTAAATTAAATGCTGAAACTGGAATTTTCTTATTCAAATTATATTTATAGATCTTTCGGTTGCTGAACCTTTATTGGTCAGCCAACGCAGGACAAATGATTTGTTTCATTGTGAAGGTTATGATAATCATGTGTTGCAGGATTTTCATGTTGTTGATGCATTATCTCAACCATATTGGTTAATAAACTTGGAAGATATTTTGATCTTCTTTCATTTTGTCTGCAAAGTTTGGCTCATAGTTGTCCCCAAAAACTGTTCTTTCATCGACAAAAACTAAACCATCGTGAAACTTTCTGTGCGTTCACGTGGATTATCATTTTGGGTTATATACTTCTTGGTTGGTGCGCTACACAGCTGCAAATTCTTTGTTCTCCTTAACGGGGGTCTATACATTATTGTCGTTTTACTTGACTTTTATTTCCTCTTCTGTCGTTGTTTCTTAAAACATGTTCTTTACTAATTGGTTCAAAAATGTTTCAATTTTTGGTCATTATGTTCATTGTTCTCTAATTTTTGAATCTAGAATGCGTGTACTTGATGGGTTGCTCACGGGCCGAAGACTGTGCTTTTTTCCATGGAATATCTTTCTTGGAGTATACTCTTTGTACTACTTCTCCACAGTTGCAAATTCTCTGGAATACTTGAACTCCTTCACGTGGTCTATAAAAATAAATAAATTTTAAAATATTGAGAAAATAACATGCCTGTGAGACTCTGACGCTCATCATGGTCTATGAATAGCGAATTGTCAGGTTTTGGTTGGCCTTATGCTCTCATCAATAAGCTTTATCCTCGTCTTCTCACATTTTCCTTAAATTGTTTCATGCCAACATGGGTTGTCTATATTTTTCGTTTCCCACTAAAGAACAAAGACAGGATAAAGTGTACAAAATGGCTTTCACGCCTACAACCACTGAAATACAGTCTGTCTTCACTCTACATTTTCATTCATAGGCTTTCACTTTCAGTTCAGAAGCTGATTTGTCCTGCTCCTGAACGCCTTGACAGCTCAGAGTGTTATTAAAAAGAAGTGGATTCAATGACATTTGCTTTTGGAATTGACCCTTTGCCCAGGCACTCACAAAAGAGAAGTGCCCACTAAATTGATTCTGGAGCATGGGGTAAGATTTTCCTTACAGAAAATGGAATCTATTGGCCCACAACTTGATACATTGTACTTTATGCGAGCATGGAAAATGTGTAACAATGTTATTATTGGTAAAACTCATTGGAAAAGTTGATTGCTATTATGATTCCAAATATTATTCTCATTACTGACAAAACTAATTAAGCTGTAACAGCTAATTGTATATCTTGGTGCAGTCATTCCTAATCTAAAGTTTCAAACAGGAGTTGTAAGTTAAAATGTATGATGTCATGGTGTTGGAGAGCTCTTTTTGTCAATTGTCAGTAGTACTAGTGCCATGTACAAAATTGCAAGTCAGTTTCATGCCTGGTCTCTATTGATAGACTCAAGATAAATCATCATGGCAGTTTCTTGGATGATCTCCGCAAGAACTCTGCGACCAACTTCGAGAATGACGAAGAATTATCCTTGAGCAACCGAGGCGGGGAGTCATACTCTACAACCTTGCCTGCATTACTCAAAGTTGTTAGTACATGAAAGTCTTAAGCTTATGATCTTCAAAACAGCACAAACTGACACTCAAATGGATTTTTTTATTTTTTTTTTCACATGGTCTCTTAGCTTACCGTCATCCAAGACCAGGACCAAGTCATTGTCAATGACAGTGGGAATTCTATGGGCCACAGTGATGACTGTGCATCCACTAGTTTCTTCCCTTATCGTCTCCTGAATCACATTATCTGTTGCAGTGTCAATAGAAGCCGTTGCCTCATCCAATACAAGAATTCTTCTCCTCTTCAGGAGCACCCTGGCCAGGCAAACAAGCTGCCTTTGCCCCACACTCCAGTTTTCCCCATTTTCAGCAACTGCATGGCATTGAAATATTTCACAATTAATAGGAAAAAAAAACCAACCCTCAAGGAGAAGTAAAATAAAAAGATAAATAAGTTTACTTTCTCCTCTTGTTAACCAGATTTTCATACCAGGTGCATCAAGAAGCCTTTGATCCTGCCGCACTATATCTGCCAGCCGACACTTGTTTAAAACCTGAAATGAAAAGGGAATTGAGTAAAAAAAAAAAAAAAAAAAAATACAATCATAAGATCTTTGTGAATGTAGAAAGTATTTTGGATATTCCGACCTCCCAGATTTCTTGATCTGAGTGCTCTTGCAAAGGGTCCAAATTAGTCCTCATGGTTCCTTGAAACAAAGTTGGGTCTTGTGGAATGATGCCTAGTCTTGACCTCAAATCCTGCAGCCCCATTTTACTAATATCAACTCCATCAATCAGAATCCTTCCTCCTGAGGGCTCCACAACTCTGAATAGAGCTTGGATCAAAGTGGATTTTCCACTTCCCGTCCGGCCCACAATTCCGATCTTCTTACTTGCAGGGAAGGTACATGTAATTCCATTCAGAACCATTGGCAAAGAAGGATTGTACCGGACATGAAGGCTGTCAAGTTCAATTCTTCCATCCGTTGGCCACTCAGGCTTAGGCCTAGAATCTTCGATAACTAGTGGTGCCTCACTTGGTACGTTAGTGAACTGAAGAATTCTCTCCACTGATATCATCTTGTTTTCAACATTGCATAAGTTCCATATCACCCATGCCTGTAAAACATTCAGGTTCAAACCATAGGTTGCTGCTAATCCTGCCAAACCTGAGATCAGATCAAACATTACATTAGTTTAGAAATACAAATTGCCATTTGTATATCAACTTTTCTCAAGAGTTTGATTCTCCTTTACAGTAAATAAATTAGTGGCCTAATATAAATATACAAGACGAGGGATAAAGAGGGGACTTACTTGGGTCAATGGCTGACTTAGGCAAGGTGACAAGAATGATGAGCACAAGGAAGAAAACAAGGTTGAAGAGAAAATTTATCCGAACAGAGAGCCATTCCATGGTGGCAGAATTGTGAAATGCCACACGAGAATAGTCATCTATGAGGCTCAAAGCCTTCATCAAGAAGCGGTCTTCCTGTTTAAAACAACGTATAGTTGCTGCTCCTGCAATCGACTCTGAAAAGTGATGTAAGACTGGAGACTTTCGAATTCCAACCATCCTGGCTAGTTCCCTGGCAGTGGTGATGTAATATGCCTGAAAAAGTAGTTAAAAACAGTTAAATCTCAAGATAAAAAAAGAAAAAAGAACACAAGAAAAAGGTTTTCTTTAAAATCTATTGTTGAACATATCATTCTGATGAATTATGTGCACAACATATTGTTATTCTATGATATGGAATCGTTAGGGATTTTTTTTTTTTTTTTTGTTCTTACCTGATACCATATGGAGATTCCAAGCACAACCAGGAAAAGAAGGAAGATTTGCCAGGCAACCTGGGACATGAGGATGATTATGCTCAATAGCTGGATAAGTGCAAAGGCCAATCCAGCTAATCTGTACGGTATATCTGTATCTAGTGTGCCTTGATCTGTAGAAGACTGCACGGATAATTGAGAAAATCAAGTTATGAACTTAGCATAACCTTTCAATCCATAAAGTATTTCAGAACATGATATAAAATAACACCGACCCTGTTGAGAATTTGACTTGAAGGCGTGGAATCAAAAAACGAAATGGGGGCGCGGAAAATCGATGTGATCATTCCATGGAACAGACGCTGAGCCGTCTCGATTGCTATGGTTGCTAGCAAAACTGCTCTACCCAATATGAAAATTGAGCTCCCACCTGATAATAATATAAAAATCCCTATCAACTGCCGGTTTGTGACTCTGCCTTCCTTTTCTGTAGCCCAAGCAATCCAGTAATTGCTGCCCATTTGTAGTCCCTGAAAGAGGACTTGACAAAGAAGGATAACAGGAACAAGAGCTCCTCCATAAGCAGAAGTGACAAAGGTTGAGTAAACACTCCATTTCACTCGACCGGTTTCTGCTTCTTCTTCTTGGGATTTCTCCATAAGCTTGCTATTTGCTAAGGGCTCTATAAAACAGTCATCCACTTCTTCTATTTGGTTCTTTCTACATGGAACACTGGCGAAGGAATCGTCTTCTTGGCTTGTGTTGCAATGGGTTAGTGACTTTCTGTGGGCGGCCATTTGACTGATAAGTTCACCACTAAGGTCTGCCGTAAGATCTTGGTATCTTCCTGACTGAGCAATCCGACCATCTTTCATTACCTTATAAAAAAACACATTTATTTCGAGTCAGAAGAAAATTCCTTGTATCTTAGGAAAACATGGACAAGAATTTCAATAACTTACCAAGACAAGATCTGCTGCTTCTAAAAATTCCAACTGATGGGTAGCATAAACTACAGTCTTCTGTGACAACAGTTGCAAGAGACATTTCTGCAGAAAAGTACAAATGTTTTTTTTTTTAAATAAATCCATCAAGTAGTTATCAAAAACACAGTAAGTTATAAAATAAAAATAAATAATAAATAAAGAACTGTTTCTTGCCTTGAACAAGTGGCTTCCAGTATGTGCATCAACCGCACTGAAAGGATCATCCAAGAAGTAAACATCAGAATCACTATAGGCAGCTCTTGCTAATTGAATTCTCTGCTTTTGTCCTCCACTCAAGTTCATCCCTCTCTCTCCCACCACAGTCAGATCTCCTCCTCCCCACATTTTGATGTCCTTGTCAAGAGCACAAGCTTCCAAAACCCGCTCATAATAGTCCTTATCCATCTTCTTGCCAAACAACACATTCTCCCTTATGGTGCCAGTTTGAATCCAAGCACTCTGTGGAACATAAGCTTTTGAGCCATCAATTTTCATTTCCATCCCAGAAATCCTAGGAATCTCATCAATCATGCCACACAGCAGGCTCGACTTCCCCGACCCAACGGAGCCGCAAACTGCAACCTTGAACCCTTTCATTATCTTCAACTTCTCTGTGATTTTAATGGTTGGTCTCTTCAAATTCTCGTCACTTGTCTCCCAAGTATGTTCAGCTTTCTCAACTTCTATTGCAACATCTGATGCCTTTGAAACATGATCAGGCACAAGTTTCTTCCTCTCTTCTTTGATAAACTCATGGACTCGGTGCAACGAAACCTTGGTTTGAGCAATCATGGAAATGAGCTCAGGAAGATTATAAATGGGCTCTTGCAGAATTCTAAACGTGGCCAAAGCTGAGAGGACTGTGCCAGTCGTTAATGGAGTGTTCAACACAATACAAACACCAAAAGTAACAACTGAAACAAGAGTTGGTGAAGCCCAAAATAGAAAAGCCACAGCTGAGCAAGTGTAGAGGTACCTCTTAAGCCAACTCCTCTCGGTCTCCCTAAGCTCGAAGATTCGCTTCAAGAAAGTCGGTTCCCATGAGTGGAGCTTCAAGACCCTCATGCTCTTTAGAGTCTCTGAAGTCACCTTGATTCTCGAGTCCTTCGCCTCCATTATCTTTGAGTGAAGACTCTCTTGCATATTGGCCAAAGGGGTGTTGCAAATCATGACCATGACCGTGGCTAAAAGCGCGGCTGCAGAAGGCGCGGCGCCTAAGTTCCTGTAAAGGATTATTAGAGCTAAAAACACTTGGAACGGGAGCAACCAAACTCCATGGATGTACCAGCAGCAATCTCCAATTCTCTCCACATCAACATTGATTAAGTTTATGATTTTGCCATTGCTTGGGCCAGAGTACTTAAGTGATATGGACTTGTTATAAATATGTACAGTAAGAGCAGCTCTTACTCTAACACCGATACGATGAGCACCAAAATACCAGAGTCTTTGAGTCAATGACTCGCATGTCTTTGCAAAGAAGAAGATAAAAGCCAGAACTAGTCCATCCCGAATGCTCGAATTATCGCGCTTTTCCAACAAGTAGTTCACAAAGTTTGTGATTAGTAAAGGACCCGTGTAAGATGCAGCAGTGTTTAGTCCTACAAGATTAAACAAAAACCAAGTAAACCAAACCTAATCTTCATTTCAACAGAAACCAGACACAAATGACAGAGTTAAAATTATGAAAAAAATAATTGTACCTGCAAAAACAGCATTTATAGCCAGGGACTTCCATACAGCACGCAGAATGGCTTTGGCTAAAGAACGCTCTTCAAATTTCTGCTTCCGAAGAGAATCTTCCAACAACGTGGAAGCATTTTTTGATCTTTCTGAGGGAGGAACACAAGGAATATGAGGCAACTCGAGCTTTTGGGATCTACCTATTTTGAAAAGCGGATTCAGCCATTGGAATGTTGCTTGACTCCAAATTCCAGCTTTACTGAAATCTCCATTTCCATCATTTTCTTCTTCTTCTTCTTCTTTCTCAAGCAATGGGTCATTAAAATCACTAATATTGTTATGATCATCATTATGGTTCTTGACATGGCTAAGAGCGTTGAGACAGAGAAGTAGAGACAAAGGAAACGACGCCAAATCAATGACGTTTGCACGTGGGAGAATGTCCGGTATAACATGGCTGGGTTTGAAGTGTGCAATGATGAAAATAGAGAGAGAAAACAAGCCGAGAATCGTTGAGAAAACCCACCAAAGGATTAAAACAAGAGGAGAGCAACAAGTTTTGTTCTTTGTGTGAAAAGAAACAAGTGTGGCTAAAACCCATGTTGTGGACGAAAACAAGGCTCTCCAAATGAGAACCCCTCGATTCCAATACTCGATAAAAGCAAAACCCAGATATGAAACTGAGATTACCGCATTGGAAATGACCGTGAAGAGAGAGAAACATCTGTGATTTCTAACGTTATAATAAGTTTGTGATCTGATATTGTTGTTTCTCTTGTCTCTCGCAATGTCGACCAAAACCCACGTTAGCAGAGCCATGAAGAAAACCACGTCGAGAATCTCGACAGAGATGTCCATTTCTGAAGGCGTGAAATGTGAAGAAATTTCTGGAAAGTTGGATTAGTTCAAGTATGAAGAAAACGCCATGACTAGCTACGAACAAGAATAGAAAAGAAAATGCTATTTTTACTCTCTTTCTATACAGTACGTTGACGATAAGATCGTATTGGAGATGAATACAAATCGGAAAGGAACAAAGCTGTATATGGTGCAAACGAATTGGAATGTGTGTGTGTGTGTGTGTGTGTGTGTGTGTATATATATATATATATATATATAAACTGTAAAGAGAAAAAACTGGAGGAGGTAGAGAAGGGAGAGAAGCCGTTCGAAGAAAGACGTACGTGGCTCTTTTAAGGGTGGTGACGAGGAAGGTCGAGTGCTTTACACATATTTATGCATTTTTTATGTATACATAGAAATTTTTTATTAAAAGAGTCCTAAGATTGATGATAAAAATGTTTGTTAAAAGCTCTGTAAACTGATTTTACTTGTTGAAAGAGACATATATAACACTTTAATTTCATGAAAAATATTAAAGATATTATCGTTGTTATTAAGAACCATCATTAATAAAAGATGAACTCTATCCATAAATTTTACTAGGACTCAATTTTTGTTAATGGATGATGCTCTGTAGCAACGCTCGAATTCCATTATGTGTGCTAACATGAAGGGCCTTGCATATATTATTGCTTTGATTTGATTTTACACGAATATATAATTTTCCTTTTATGAAAATATGGTATATTTAATCAGATGAAAAAACCGTCCCCGTCATGATATTCACAAACTTTATCGCTAGTTAGTCTCCCTTTCCCTTTCACTTTCCCTCATTCATTCCTCATAATATTTTTATTGTTATTTTTTTTTCAGCAGATTCTGTGATAGAATATAAGAACAGTGAATTTTTTTAATTCTCGGATTAAATAAATATGAGAACTTAATATGAAAATCTTACATTTGAAGACCGTATTTTAATGATAAGTTATCAAAGAATTTTTTTACTAAATAAAATTTAGGGAGAATTTTGTGATTTATTAAGGAAAAAAATTTATCTCAACTGCTCCAACGGCTAAACGTAAAATAATTCAAACGGCTACATCAGTACTTAATCATAGTGGAACAACTCCTTACTGTGAAAATTTTGTACTCTCTGATCTCTGTACATAAATTCAATAATAGATATTAAAAGATTTATTCATGTCCATGGAATATGAAATGGGGACCAGAATCTTAACAGACTACGCAGCTGTTAATTTTACTTTTATTATCAGTAAAGGGGACCAGAATCTAAACTCTCTATCTCTCTTTTTCTTTGTCGCGTTAATTTCAACCTGTCAATTTTTACAGGCTAATTATGTCAGCTAATTATGTCTTCATGTATGTCATCATTTTAAGGACACTGATTCTTTCTTAGCCCAAAAAATAAATTAAAAAAGGAGAATAATTGTAAACGATAAAACACTCGCGATCCCGTTTAGTTTGGTAATTCGAGTTTTTAATTTAAATTATTATGTAATTTTATGTGAAATTTTTTTATTATAATAAAAAAATTAGACGTTACTATTTCTGATAATTTTTTACTATAATAATATTTGAATCGGTGAAATAAATAAGACCTCAAATTCTCTTATGCAATGTAATTCTCAGTACATTCACATTAATTAGATGTCTCCATTATGTCAATAAATGTAGGAAATTTGAGCACCATGAAGTTTATTATTTGAGATGGTTGAAAATAATTTTTGGTCCTTTTTTGTTATTTTGGGTGGAAGTTTGAGATGGTTGAAACTTGAACGTACGTTAGGAGGTTCCGAATTTCATCTCCCTAATTCCACAAAACCCATCTAGAAAAAATTTGATTAAAATTACAACAGCATAAAATCCCGTCCAATTTTTTTTTTTTAATTTTTAATTTTTTTTTTTGAGAAGGCATCCAATTTCATTTTTGCCTTGTTAATTTTGGGAAAGAATTATCACGTTTATCTTCTTATAAAAAAGATTTATGTTTTTTCCTTTTATTTATGGGAGCTCTTGGGGTAGAAATTAATATTCATTTTTAACTGTTTAATTAATTTTTTAACGATTAAATTTATGAGTGTTCATATTAAAAATTTACACAAGGCGACGTAAAACTACTCTTACTCACTCGCATGTCAAACCTTAGAAAAGCTAATTTAACAGTTTCTACCCATAAAGTAAATAACAATTTCTATTATAAAAGTTTTATTTATTTATTTTGGATGGTTGAAACTTGAAATTAGCCACGGAGTTTATTAAACAAAATTTCAATGAAAAAAAAAATCCAATGATAATCATTTTGCCTTTTCTTCTTGGGAAACAAATCCCAATTATTTTCCAACTACATTCATTTGGCCTTTTCTTTTTTTGGGAAACAATCCCAATTTATTTTGTAGGCTATATAAGGTAAAACTAGATACATTCTCATGTAAGAAATTAAAAAGAATATTCTCTAATGGAGTACAAAAGATACTCTATCAATAGTATAGAATGGTATGTCACACATTTGCACGATTTTTTCCCTTAATTTTGCTATAATTTTGAACTATTATACCTTTATAAAATTCTACTAAATTTACATACTTTTTTAGTCATAAATAATTACGATAGAGTCCAAACAGTAATTTTTATGAGTATTTTCTTTTAAACCGTCAATGTCCACAAATAAATATACTGTAGGCTGAGCTTTGACGTCTTACAAAATAAATGAGTTAGATTCAACACATAAATAGTCCGACTTAGACACAACACGAGACATATTTAATATTAATTTAAATATACCGATTCATTAGGAGACGTTTAGTTCATGAATTAGAATTATTTTTGATTTACGTGTATTTTTTATGAGAAAAAATACTATAGCTAACCACGAATCATAATTCAAATCAGAGAACGAATCTAAGTACTAAACATCTTCTAATATTTCTATCTTATTATCCGCTCTGAACATATAATTATACCTCTTATTAGTCTGTTAAATATGACTTGAACTTACGTGAATTTTGATTCTCTCATTAACGAAAGCACGAATAGAATATAAAACTATTATTGGTCCACATTCTAAAAACTTAAGTTTTTGGGATGAATTGGTAAATTAACATGGTATCAGAGCAGGACGTTCTGAGTTAAAACTCCCGTAATTACACTCTCTATCTTCATTTAAAATTATCATTATGTGTTGGGTCTTTAATATATCTCAGGCTTAAATATTCACGTGTTGAGCTTTCTAATTAATTTACCTACATAATTATCCATTATTCAGCCCACATGTGAAGAGAAGTGTTAAAATATAAAATTATTATTGACCTACCTCCTAAAAACTTAAACTTCTGAAATGAATCGGTAAACTAACCTAGAATACTAACGTTCTCCTTTTTTCTCCGAGCAAAGAAAAAAAAAACTACTTTTTCTGAGTATTGCGTCCAAAAAAAAAAGTACGAGTGCGTGTAGAACCATGATTTGTCATGGTTTGGGGAGTGTGGACACAGCGTGGGTCCGGACCACCTAGCTCTCCATATTCTGCGTGACACGTGGTAGGTGGGCCAGGGGAGTGTGCTGCGTAAGTGCTAACCCACAGTAAAAGCGTGTTCGTCATGTGGCAAAAGTCAAAACCACCATGCCATTCTACAACTCCGGCTGCCTTTTTGAAGAGCTACACTAATCAGCAATCACGTTAATCTCGACCCATAATCCACTTTCCAATGGTCTTGGCTAATTTAATCCAATCTGCTCAGCTTTTTAACCGTTTTGACAATATATATATGAATCAGTGCTTTTAATTTCAAACATACACTACACGAGGTTTGAATGTTTTTTAGCAAATTAAAAAAAAAAAAGTGACCTTTTTGTATTCGAAGGTTTCCGAGTAAATCACCAATGTGTCAAAATCAATTGAATGTGGACAAGTTAGTGTTTTTTGAAAATTCAAAAGGCTTATCACTAAATGGGCGTGGAAAAATTGGATAAGCATATCTTGTTTGGCGGCCATGAGTCCGAAAATTACAGCCCGCCGGCCGCCGTCACACTAATCTACTAACATTGACCATATGATTTGTCTCATTCTTTTTCTGTTTTTTTTTTTTTTTTTTTTTTTTTTTGGGTTTTTTAAGGGGAAAAAGGGCCCCCTTGC